CAATCTTGAGCTTCCACATTTTTATTTTTGTCTTCACTAATCAAGCTTCTGAATTAACCAGTGTGGTAATTCACAGACACTATCTATTCAGCAAAAATATTTAAGCTTATCTACACACGCATACATGATATATTTGTCCACTCTCTAATATCTTAGTTAATCATTTTGAGAAAGGTAGGTACGCAATCTACAGTGCCCTCGCTTAGTTCACCACGTCTTCATAATTATCTACATATTTAGATAAATTGATTTAACACGTCTTCCATCTTCAATGCTATCACTAATAAAAATAGTGACTATTAGTTTACCACATTTTTCGACTTACTTATTGACATTTTTAATTAAAATGATTTAACACGTTTTCCATCTAATGGCAAGAGTGAGTTTTCATAGTCTTAGCACATAGATTTTGTTTTAGTGGGGGATATGATGATGTCCAAATTGAGTAAGGAAAATAATCAATATCTAAAGGTCGAATTAAGAACTGCTCATAAAAATAAAATAAATAAATTATATAAAGAAAAATTAAATTTGAGAGAAAATTGGCCAATTTTGGTAGTTCTTTAATTGATTGTAAATACTTAGATTTTTTTAGGATTGAGCGGTTCCTTCAAATATTTATCATGAAAAGATTAAAAAAAAAGAGAAATAAATTGGTGTTTATTATAATGCTTAAAAAATCGGTCAGTACGTACATTTATTTAAAAAGGTTAAATAATCCGTATCAAAAGGTTGAACTGCTAATATTTTTAGGACAATCGACATTTCAATAGCTCTTTAATTGGTTGTCAATATCTAGAATTTAACATGTATCGAAACATTTCGTATTAGTTTTCAAGTTTTACCCTAATTGTAATGGATATATTGGGATGTAGTGGTTGAAGACGTGCAAATTCACTAAATTGCAGTGTTCAGTAATCATAAATTTATCAAGAAAATTCTAATCCGTGCATTGCTGGTGGCACTGGAAGCTAGAATCTTTTATCTATGGCACTGGAAACTAGAATCTTTTATCTAAATCTTCGACAAGTTATAATCCAATATCTTATTCCAAGTAAGTACGAAGCTTCAAAGCAACGCACTTTGGAAGTTGTAGTTACTACTTTTTAGCTTTTTGCATTTTATTTATTATTAGTCTATGTCACGTGCGATACACGAGCTGTGCATGAATTATGGTTTGATTAACGTATGTATTGTATATGTTTGAAAATATATGGGAAGATGAAATTATCGGCAAGGAACTAACCAGTTATATGAGTCGATCACTAGTCTTTCTTCCACAAAATGTCATTTTTCTACTAAAAGTTGCAGAATCAATAAAATCCATTAATAATGAGAATTCAAGCCATAGTTAGTCAAAGAAATACTCCACTTGACAATAAAAGCATTCCAAGCAAAAAAAGCTAGTACCATAGCAGTACATCCTTCAACAAATTATAGTAGATATAAATGTATTATTGTACAGTAAAAAAATAATTCAACGTAAAGCAGAAGTTAGAACCTGAAAATTCCAAAAGTCTAAAACAGTAAGTATCCCAAGATCTCGTGGCCCAGGGGTGAGTTCCTTTCTCTTTCTTTCTTTGAACCTCCGTAATTACGGAGGCTCATGCTTGAGCCTCCATAATTATTATGGAGACCATTATGGAGGCCTCCATAATAACGGAGGCTGCCTTATATTGAGTCTCCATTATTATGGAGGCCTAGAGGCTGCCTTATATTGAGCCTCCATTATTATGCCTCCATAAGAGGCTGCTTATATTGAGCTTCCATTATTATGCCTCCATAATAATGGAGGCTTAGAGGTTGCCTTATATTGAGCCTCCATTATTATGGAGATGGAGGCTCAATATAAGGCAGCCTCCGTTATTATGGACCCTCCATAATAACGGAGGCTATTATGGAGGCCCATAATTAAGAAGGCTCAACAGGCATGAGCTTCCATAATTACGAAGGCTCAATATTTTTGAGCCAAATGCCTTTGTAATTATGGAGGTACAAATTTCATTTTTTTTTCTTTTTCTTTCACTGGCTCTCAATACAATAATTTCATTTAATTTAATCAACTTAGTTTTTCTAATAGACGTGATTCCTAAAATAAATATATAAAATATAGATCAATTTTTTTTATATATATAGAGATTATATAAATCCTTCAAATGAGCAGAAATGTAGATAAATGATAGAAATATTAATCACATTTTCAATCGTAACTTTTTGAGTGCAATCAAATAATGTTTAAAACGTGTTAAATCAAATAGTCACTTACGTCAATAGTTCAATAACTTTTTTCTCCTCACTTTTGTTCTTGGGAAGAGTAAGATCAGGCTTTTCGGTAACATATTATCCATTTCTACAACCCGTGTTAATCTATTATGCTATTTCTACACCCAATTCTATTTACTCTCTTATTTATCAACCTATTTCATCCACATTTTAATGATTCCCAAATATCTAAAATTAAATAATACAACATCATTACTTCATTGGAACTCTTTAATTGAAATATAATATTCATAAGAAATTTGCACACATATTATGCAAATAGATACATTGTTTCACCAAAACATTTGTTTTATATTCACTTATATAGAAACCATCATATGTGTATATTTCATTTTATTTTTTTATATTTTAATACGGATCCACTGCATATCACAAAAAAAAAAACATTAACAGCAAAAATTCGAAATGAAACCAATTCATGCAAAATGCAAGAAAAAAATCAATCAAACTCCATTAAATGAAATTGAGTTGCAGAACGTCCACAGATTTCAATAAAAACAAGAATAAGAACTAAAATTCAGAACAACCAGACCTCAATCAATTCATACAAAATATATAACAAACAATCCTAGTTCACTCCAGAGTGAAACTCAGAGAGAAGAAGTTAGGGCTAATTTGAGTTGTAAAATGGAGAGAACAAGCAGTAGCATGTGAAAATGGAGAAAAAGAAAGAAAGATCTACCTAAATTGAGTACAAGTTGGTGCATCACTGTAGCCTGCATTTTTTTTTTTTTGTACAGACAGCGTCGTTTTCGCTAGAGAGATGAAAAAAATTGCTACAGTGTGTGAAAATGGAAGAATTTACTGTTCTTTCTACAGTAGTGATAACATTGTCCTTTTTATATAGTAATGAAATATGCATCTTTTTTAACATATAACAAATATTAAATACCTTGTATTAAGAAGACAAGAGCAGACTTCAATATTTAATTATTTTGAGAATAAAATATCAATTATTTATCTCTTTATTTCAGTATATGAAAGATAATTTTAGATAATATTACTATATTTGAATTACACTTCTCAATAATGAACCAGGAGTATTAGATTAAATATGATGGTTAGTAGATGACGTCCACCAACAAAGATATGAAGTTAAACAAAAGGAGAGTTAAATATATGAATAAATTGTCAAGCAATATAAAGTGGTAGATCACTCACTACAAATGATGCTAACAGTAGAGAAGAAGATTAATATGGTAATTAATTCTTAAAACAGTATGAAGTATGGCACAAATAATTTTCTACGAGTTAATAAATCGTAATTTTTTGTTTTACCACAAGTAATCATTGCGTCTCGAATCCTTTTTGTCATGTTTTTCAGTATATAATGTTTGGAGCTTTAACAAGTATCTATTATTGAAATACGATTGAAAACAAACTAAATGAAATTATAATCAAATTGAGAGCGACAATCTACTTAACAATTTTAATGAGTACAGAAAGTTCTTCAATCCTTTAAGAGATTATCATGTTTGAGGCTTCAAATTCACCCATTTTTGAATTCAAAAATTTTCTTATGCATTAATTTTCATTGGGTAGTTCTTACTATTTATGTCAATTTTGTATTCATTGCTTGCAATTGTCAATACACATCGGCTATGATATGCATTTTTATGAATTCCCACAACAATTATCGCTAACAATAGCCAAAACTTCATAAATAAAATAAAATAAAATAAAATAAAGAATATTGATGCAGTCTTGACCCAATTCATAGAGACATAACATAGTTATTATATTATATCAGACCCGCAATCAATCCGATCGAGGTACTAATTCTCGTGTTACTGGTTGAATCGGTTAGTTATTGCTTATAAATTATAAAAAGCTTTTTAAAGTATAAAATGTTTTCTTTGAGATAAAATAAAAATTGTTAAGTTATTTGTCACTAATTATTTATATAATTTTAAGTTATAAATTTTGTTAGACATTCAATTCATCTTAATTAAAATTAATCTTTCTACACGTGACAGGTTAATAAGTTTAAGTAATACAAGAGCTTCGATAATAGAAGCGGCACGCTCAACACACATTGGGACTATTGATGAATTTTAACTTCAACATTGGTGGCATTTCTAAAATAAAACTGGTACATGCTCCCTATGATATGCATTTTTATGAATTCTCACAACAATTATCACTAACAATAGCCAAAACTTCATAAATAAAATAAAATAAAATAAAATAAAGAATATTGATGCAGTCTTGACCCAATTCATAGAGACATAACATAGTTATTATATTATATCAGACCCGCACATCAATCTGATCGAGGTACTAATTCTCGTGTTACTGGTTGAATCGGTTAGTTATTGCTTATAAATTATAAAAAGCTTTTTAAAGTATAAAATGTTTTCTTTGAGATAAAATAAAAATTGTTAAGTTATTTGTCACTAATTATTTATAGAATTTTAAGTTATAAATTTTTTTAGACATTCAATTCATCTTAATTAAAATTAATCTTTCTACACGTGACAAGTTAATAAGTTTAAGTAATACAAGAGCTTAGATAACAGAAGTGGCACGCTCAACACACATTGGGACTATTGATGAATTTTAACTTCAACATTGGTGGCATTTCTAAAATAAAACTGGTACATGCTCTAATTTTCAAGAAATATCCTATACTAATTACACAACCAAAATAATATGAAAATGATCATGGCAAGAATATCATATTATCGCGGATATTAGAAAAATATTGAAGAGAACTGATGAGTAAAAATTCTTATTTTGATCTCACACCAGTGTTTTTAATTTGTTTTCTTTTGCTAGATTCTTCACCATTTGAGTTTTACAGGTCTCTAAACTCAATATGAAAATACAGAACAATAAATATGTTAACAAGTTCCGAAAACATAGTATAATAGAACCGTGTGCCTTCACTGGAGTATTTGACTGCCATAGTCGGCATTAAACTTCAAATAGCGATGAGCAAGGAGATGAGCAGATGGTCTAGTGTTCTTTAAAGCCATCTCAATGTCTCCATGTGTAATTGGTCCAACTTTGGGCAACTCTGCATGTCAATCACAACATATTAGTGCATCAATTATGGGTAACACCTAAACGCTATCCATAAGCGAACAGAATCAAACATGAAGTACTATGTGACCAGATAAATGCAATCATTTATCCTTATTAGCAAATTACGCGTAACGTGAAAACTTCGAGCCAAGTTAAAATATATTATCGCGGATATTAGAAAAATATTGAAGAGAACTGATGAGTAAAAATTCTTATTTTGATCTCACACCAGTGTTTTTAATTTGTTTTCTTTTGCTAGATTCTTCACCATTTGAGTTTTACAGGTCTCTAAACTCGATATGAAAATACAGAACAATAAATATGTTAACAAGTTCCGAAAACATAGTATAATAGAACCGTGTGCCTTCACTGGAGTATTTGACTGCCATGGTCGGCATTAAACTTCAAATAGCGATGAGCAAGGAGATGAGCAGATGGTCTAGTGTTCTTTAAAGCCATCTCAATGTCTCCATGTGTCATTGGTCCAACTTTGGGCAACTCTGCATGTCAATCACAACATATTAGTGCATCAATTATAGGTAACACCTAAACGCTATCTATAAGCGAACAGAATCAAACATGAAGTACTATGTGACCAGATAAATGCAATCATTTATCCTTATTAGCAAATTACGCGTAACGTGAAAACTTCGAGCCAAGTTAAAACGACTAAATTTAGAAGACGAAAAATTTGAAAGTCAATATCATCTTTCAAAAAAAAGTTTGGACTAGTGAGAACAAGACAAAAAATTTACTAATGAAAGTGCATATACTTATAAGTTCATTCTTCTGTCAGAATGTGGCAAAAAAAAGAACTACATCAAGAAATTAAAGCCCTTTCCTTCCCTAAACCAGAATACGAGTTGCAACTTCTCACATTTTAAACATTAAGATACAATAAGCAGATAAAAAATGTTTTATCATGCTGCACAACTTTTGAACTTCTCTGTCCAAAAGATATAAATACCAAGCTTTTGTAGTGGACACTTATCAATAATAAGAAGAATCAAGAAGTACTAAAATCACAAAATTATGCTCAGGTTAACTTTTGCTCCTATGCTGAAGTTTGAAATAAATGGCTTTTCTAATTGTATACGTGGCAGTGTAAGCATCAGCAACACTCACAGCATGTTTGGTACGGTGAACTGACAATAGGACAATTGGCGAACTTTGTCACGTGCTTCTCTTGTATAATCCTGTCCAATACAACTACCAAATATGTTTATGTCCTCAGTTTTTTTAATGTTTATTTCTTTAGCGTTTATTTCTTCAGAGAATTCCAATATTGTATTTCTATTGGTAGTAATTAAGAAACATACCGTCCTCAGGTACCAGTTCTTGTTTGTCCTCAAGAAGTGCCATTAGCCGTCTAAGGGGCTGCATTGCAGCCTCTTTGCACAATAGCCTAATATCAGAACCCGAAAAACCTTCAGTGTTTTCCACCAACAACTTGTAAGGAATTTTCTCTTCCTGAAAGTTTGATGGTAGCAATTCCTCGAACATGGCTCTTCTAGCTTCAGGTTCAGGGAGAGGTACAAGGATCTAGATCATGCGGAAAGGAAAAAAAAGGTCAATTCCCTGCCATTTTTCTTTTTGAATGTGATGTACCTAGCTCAACAACCATTTATTGCAAAATGCCAATAGTTTGAATTTGGAGTGTCGAAAATGGCACCACATTTTTCTAGAAATACTGTATGATTTCAACAAAATGAAGAAGAAAAGAAAAAGAGGATTTGATGGGGTTAATTGGCAGATAAATGCCATTTTAACTAGAATCTTGTCTAACAACAATTGTTCTTGTGAGGAAAGTTCCAATCTAATGTCTGTGTCTCGTGCCAAATGATGCATCAGCCCATTGGAATATATATATACCCGTTTCTCGAGACGTCTGAGCATGGCTGCATCTAGTTCCCAGGGGAGGTTTGTTGCTGCCAGGACAAAAACAAGTTCATCCGTCCGAGTTAAACCATCCATCTGCAATCTTAGTCCAAACCATTAGTTTCTAGAAAGGTTCAACCACACATTCCACCGGAGTCACCAGTACTATGCACTTATCTAACACTTATTTCTATCTATTTTTAAAAGAGGATATGTCACTGGAGCTTCAAATTAGCCTGTGACTGTCCACAAGTCACTCACTATGATGGAATGCTGAAAGCTAATTTGGAGTGTCAACAACACTCCCCTTTTATATATTCTTGAACCGGTAGGTATAATGTGTCACCTGTACGAGCAACTCAGTTTTCAAACGTCTGCTAGCTTCATGCTCACTGCGCCCTTCACCTCGCTGGCTGATAATTGCATCAATCTCATCAAGAAATATAGTCGATGGAGCATGATGCCTTGCCAGCTCAAATAATACTTTAATCAATTTCTCTGAGTCACCTGAAATGCAACACAATTCAAAAGAAGTATATCAAAAGAAGGATGCCGAGTGGGGTATCTTCTTTTCTTATCAGAGAAACAAGCAAAACAAATTACTTATTGTTTTCATAAAATAGCAGAATTCATTCAAAGATGGCACATAAAACATATTCAAACATTCGTTGGAGATAATCATGAGTTAATTAACTCCTAAACTAAAGTTTATATTAACAAAGAAATCTAGTTAAAATAAATATACCATCATAGTTAGTTTCACACAAACTTGTCATTACTGGCTATTCCCTTACTCATTCATGCCACAACAAAAGCATAACCATCTAAGGATAAAAATGAGTGGTAAAGGAACTGAAAAGGGAATATCAAAATTAAGATTCAACCAGCTGATCAAAAGTCACACAAAGCTGTGTTTAGGAGACATGACAAGCCAGAATACCATACCCCGCCATTTGCTGACAACTGATGATGCAGAAATGTTGAAAAATGTGGTATTGCACTCCGTTGCAACAGCTTTTGCTAGCATAGTCTGCAAAAATGAAAAATGGTTCAGATTATAAGAAATACTGTTTATTGATCAAAAACTATGTCAATTTTAATAAGTTCGTCATAGAATGACTCAAAACAGGAACTTCCATGATAGTACATCTACATTGTCATATTGACTAAAAGTACATTCCAAGAATCTTATTCACCTGACTTCTGATTAGTTATATTACTTCCATAACTCTAAGTTGAAATTAATAGCCTTTTTGCTCTCATCGTTTATATTGACATCTTCTTCAAAAAGGATATATTATAGGAAGTCACCTACATACTAATTTACGTAGTTCTATTTCAAAATATTTCTTTCACAACTCTAATTCGAAATTGATTGCCTTTCTAGTCACATTGTGTAAAAATTAAATTAAAATCTCCACTGCCAAAATTCTTCATCCCCAATTTATATCAGCTATATATACTAATCAACAAGGGAAAGAAGCTTCACATTTGCAGAATTCTTAGTCGGATTTCCAATCTTTCAGTTCAAATCTCATCCGATCAGGCAATAGAACAACTTGCATAAGAAACTAAGATTAGCAAATGAGTTTTATCGGCATTAATGTATTTTACAAACTTAAAATCAATTTTTTGGAGGTCATGATCATCAACTGAGTGATAGAAAGAAATGAGGTAGAATACAAACCTTCCCAGTTCCTGGGGGTCCAAATAGGAGAATACCCTTCCATGGTGTCAGAAGACCAGTGAAATACCTAGAAGAAGTGGTAAGAGAATTTTAGTTACAGTTCAATAAAAACCTAAAATTTAGATATTCTGCATCTCATGTGCTAAATGCTAATTGAAAAACTCCATCTCCTCAATGATGATTGACGTGTTATCTTCAAATATCACACACAGTTTTGACCTTTGACTAGCTATCTGAAAATAAATCAATCAATTTCAACTTCTTTCCTGTAACTTTAGCACGAAATAAGGTGCTCGATGACAAGACCTACTTTGGATATTTTATGGGCATGACAACTGCTTCTTAGAGTAGATGCTTGGCAGTTCCTAACCCTTTAATGCTTTCCCATTTAACATCTGGACTACCGCGAATGATATCCCTGCCAAGAAAAAACAAGACATCATTCATAGTTCTCAGTGAAAGTTATCAAGTCAGCCAGATGAATGAAATTCAACTAGTAAAATTGATTGGCTGTTGAAAGTCTCTTGCCAATTGTGTCATCAATTACCTACTTAAACTCTCTGCTAAAGTACGCATTTCAGCTGACTCAAAAGGAGGAAGCAAAGACTTATGCCCGAAAAAAGTGAATAGTAAATGTCAGCAAACGCCTAAATAGGAAAAAGATGCTACAGAATTCATCCTATCTTGAGAAGAATAACATATTGATGCAGTGCTGTTAGGTGAAAAGCCCTGGTATTTTGTGCAAAATTTTATTGTACCATAGAGCACTGAATTTTAGTCTAGTGAGCACTGAATTTTAGTCTAGTAAGCACCGACATGGACATGAGTGGCGGACATGGCACAAGATAGATAAGTTGACACGCAATATTTAAAAAAACTTCCGAAAAGCTGATTAAAATAACATTATTTTTTTCATTTTTTATTATTTATAATGTAAAGATTTTTTATTTTTATTTTTTTAAATTCAAGAGTGTCAATAATGTGCCTCCAACTTGTCGTACGGTGTGTTCTAAAGAACAAAAGCAAACAATAATTTGAACATGCCACCTGGGATTTCCGACTCGTGTCAATGTGTCAGTATCATGTCGGTGCAGCTCCTAGCTTGTCCGCGACTTGTTCAACTATACAAAAAATAATTTAAAAATGCCCACTTGCTGTTTTATGACATGTCGGTTCGTGTAGTGTCAAAGGGCAATGTGACAGTGACTTGTCTATTGTACAAAATAAAATAAATAGTTCAGACACGCCTCTTAGCGTTTTCAACATGTATCGATGACATGTTGGTGTTCGACACATATGGCCCCTACTTGCTGATCCCGGAGGGTGTTGGTGCATCCTACATTTTAGTTGTACAACATAGCAATGAAGTATATTTTAGTAATATTATTCTGATTTACACATTCTCTCCCTTCATGCATAAAGGCATGCAATTAGTTTTTCCAATATGATGCAATGTTGGTTAGATTAGCATGATGCCTTGCTATACCATCATCTCCAGCTCATCAATTTGAAGTGTGGTTGGGAAGAGAGGATCAAGTCTTGGTCCATGCTATTAACAGTACTAAGTTGATATAATTAATAAAACTGTACTTCACTAAGGAAAAAATCCAATCTCAACACCATACTCAACCATGTATTCCATAAACTCAAAAAATTAAACGACCAAATTGATGCATCTACCAAGGAGGATCTCCTCTGTTTAAAATGCATTCATCATTCGTAGAAATGTTAACATCATTCTAGGCGTGCTCTTAGTCTGATCCTTCTTTTTTCTTTTGATAGGTGAATTTTGTGAAGTCTAGTAAGTTTTACTAAATGGAAGATAGCCTGCTTAGCATGAAAGAGTTATAATGGACATTGTCTAGGACTAAATCGTCCATAACATATGCACAGATTTTGAAGTTATGTCATTTCAATTTATGGTGGTAGTCACAATTGACTCTGTTTGTACTAACAGAAACATGCAGTTTGATGGAAGAGAGATGTGGGTTGGCTGCTCTTTTGATAGCTTGAAAGAGACCACTTAATCAACTTAAAGCATATATTAATTGTTTCATTAAACATTGTTAAACTCAAGTAACGGCATTAAATAATTAAGTAAAAAAAAGGAATAAAAGTCATGTAAGTCATACAGTTTTTCATCAACTCCAGCAGAAGAAACTCCATTGTTGTGCGTTAAAATCCCTCGATCCTTTAGCACAACAATTAAAAGAATGTTGAAATAGCCAAGCACCATACAACCATCACACTTACTGCCTTTAGATGAATAGTAAACAGAGTACCTGATTATGATTCTGCTCGTAAATGGACAAGTCAGATGGATTTTTCACGTGCCCACTTCCATTTGATGTCACATTGGAAGAATTCCCATTAAGCGCAGTTTCATTATTTGTAGCCGCATCTTTATCTTCGGAGTCTCTCTTCCTCCCAAATTTCATATCGTATAACAACTTAAATTGCTAAATGTATTG